GGTATCCAGAGGTGTAGGGGCTGCCAACAGGTCCCAAAGGAGCCTCCCAGGGTGGGGGCGAGGAGAAGAGTCAGCCACTCACCGAGGACCCCTGCCCCATGGGGACCACCACTCTTCACGGGGATCTGAGGAAGGACCTGGGGGGAACCAGCTGTTAAAGCCCTGCCACCCCCATGGCCCAGCACCCAGACATTAAAGCCCAGCCAAGGTCATAGTTCGGGGCCCAGTCTAGTGCCCACTGGCCTTCCATCAGGTATTAGAAGATGGTCGAAGGCTCCCAACCATGGGCAGGGAAAGCATGGCACTCAAAACCAGCAGGACACAAGGTCAGAAGCACCAAGAAATGACAGGCCCTGGATGTAAGACCTGCCTGCCTGCCTGTGAGGACCAGGAGATAAGGAGATTCCCCCGGCAGGGGTCAGCTCCACCTGCCCTGGTCCTCAAGATGGCCCAAGACCCAGCAGCATGCCCAAGGGCTCGGACCCAGGCTGCCTCCCTGAGGGCAAGAGGCAGGAGTACGTGCAGTCCAGGCAGAGCAAGGGGCAGAAGCAGGGTCACAGGCACTGCCAGCTCAGCCATGCTGGGCCTGGAGCGGGACAGTTGGGAAGGTCACTTGTGTGTGACAGGTGCTCACACGATGTAGTATCTTGGAGGTGGGGAGGCAGGCAGGCATCCCAGCCCACCTCTCCCTCCTTCAAGGTGGGGAATCCTCACCCGGGGATATTTTTTCCATTTATTTTTAGAGAGTGAAAGGGACAGAGAGAGAGAGAAACATTGATGTGAGAGAGAGACACTGACTGGTTGCCTCCCGCACACACCCTAACAGGGGCCAGGGGTTGAACCTTGCAACCCAGGTACGTGCCCTTAACCGGGAATTGAACCCTCAAAGCTCCGGTGTGCGGGCCAATGCTCTAACCACTGAGCCACACCAGCCAGGGTGTACAGAGATTTTTAAGAGGCTTAAACCCAGTGTGACAGAGTGGACTGGGGAAGGGCAGGCTGACTTGGGAGACAGACAAGTAGGTGCTGGGCAGATGTGGGCAGCTGTGCACAGTGGGGAAAGGAAGGAAACAAGGCCGCAAAGCCTCCATGAGCTCAGGACCTGGCAACACCTGGCACCTTGAGAAGTGAGGGACCAACAGCAGGAGCCTCATTAAAGGGCAGCTGGGTCCTGGAGTGTGCCCTGCCAGGTGCCTGGAAAGTAAACCAGACAGGTAGGTAGAAGCAGAAAATGGGGCAATTATATGAAATTTATATATATATATATATATACACACACATACATATATACACACACACACACACATATATATATATTCAGTTGATTTTAGAGAGAGAAGAAGGGAGGGAGGGAGGAACAGAGAAAGAAAGAGAATGAATGAGAGAAACATTGATTTGTTGCTCCACTTATTTACACATTGGTTGACTCTTGTATGTGCCCTGACCAGGGATTGAATCTGTAACCGTGGCATATCAGGACAATGCTCTAACCAACTGAGTTACTCGGACAGGGCCTGAAGTTTACATATTTTTAATGCTCCCTGACATTTTTTTAAAAAAACATATCTTTATTGATTTCAGAGGGAGGAAGGGATAGGGAGAGAGAGAGAAAGAAACGTCAACGATGAGAGTGAGTCACTGATCGGCTGCCTCCTGCACGCCCCAGACTGGGGATCGAGCCCACACCTGGGGAATGTGCCCTGACCAGGAATCAAACTGGGATCTCCTGGATCCTAGGTCAATGCTCAACTGCTGAGCCACGTCCAGCTGGGCTCCCTGACATTTTTAATGTCACCAGTCAGGACTGTTTCCTCTGAACAGAACAAGACTCTTCTCTGGGGATTTGACCACCCCAGAAGAAAGAACTCAGGGATCTCAACCTAAGAGTGTCCCCAGGCTGGGTGCCCCTGGTGGCTGGCTGGTATGTTCTCAATCAGAGCAGATGACCAAGGCCTACCAGCTTGGGAAAGCCTCTGAAAGGACACAAAGAAAGTGTAACAAATGACAGGACACAACTGGCCAGGGAACAAAAACCCAAGGAGAGGAGAACTTGTGAGAACAAGTCTTGTACCCATGAAATAAAAATGGGATGTTAGCGCTGGCTGGTGTGGCTCAGTTGGATGGAGCATCATCCAGTGCACCAGGAGGGCACCGGTTCAGTTCCTGGGCCGGGCACATGCCTGGGTTGCAGGCTCAACTCCCAGCGGGGGGCGGACAGGAGGCAGCCAATCGATGTTAAGCTCTCACATTGATGTTTCTCTCTTCTCCCTTCCTCTCTCCCTAAAAATCAAATTATTCTTTAAAACGAAACACAAAAACAAAACAACAACAAACAAGAATGGAATGTTAGTTCCAAAGTGTTGAGTTCAGTTCAGGGCAACTTCCCTGTTCTTTTAATTAAACTTTGGGACATTGAAACATAGGCCACGGGAGGTGACTGAATAGAAATCACTGCTCTATTCATTTACCTCCCAGCCTACAAAAATGAATGAATGAACGAATAATTGAAATAAAACTGACATTACACAGCATAAAGGAAATGGTAAAGTTCATGCTAATAATTAAACTTTTTTTTAAAAAAGAAAAAGAATGGAATGTTGGAAAAAAGGAACATTCTGGGAGGAAAGCAAGCACTTCCACATTAAAGTGCCAAAAATATAATAAATGTCACTGTAAGATGGAGTCAGAGCTGCCATGCCCGATGAATTCCCTTGCATATCTTATACCTCACATCTCTGAAATGTTAAAACAGGGCAAAACAGCCCAGCTGGCGTGGCTCAGCAGTTGAGCATCGACCTAGGATCCAGGAGATCGAGGTTTGATTCCCGACCAGGGCACATGCCCAGGTTGCGGGCTCGATCCCCAGCAGGGGGCGTGCAGGAGGCAGCTGATCAATGACTCTCTTATCGTTGATGTTTCTATCTCTCTCCCTCTCCTTTCCTCTCTTTGAAATCAATAAACAAAAAAACATACTTTTTAAAAAATTAAATAAATAAAACAGGAAAAAGTAACCTTTGGACTGGGCTTAAGCAACACTGTCTCCCAAAAAACTGATTGCAAAGATAACAAGAAAGCAGTTGTTATGACTACTGGACTGAAGATTAAAAACATTATTTAGAATTATCACTTTTGCCCTGGCCCGTGTGGCTCAACTGGTTGGAGTGTCATCCTATACACCAAAAAGTGGCGGGTTCAATTCCTGATCAGGGCACATTCCCAGGCTGCAGGTTCAATCCCTGGTCAGGGTGCATGCAGGAGGCAACCGATTGATGTTTCTCTCTCTCTCATCCTCTCTCTCTAAAAAAAAAAAAATAATTGGTAACAAAAAGAAAATTTACATCAGTTATATTATCTACACCAATAAAAATGCCTTCCTTCTATTGATGTAATTATTACCCTTCCCCTTCTCATAAATACCCATTGCCCTTGTCTCCAAATCAGGACATTATTTAGACTGCTGCCTGAATCAGTGCTTCCCAAGTAGCTACTCTTTGATATCAAATAAATCCGTATTTGCCTCTCACTTTACTTATTTTTTTAATTTTTAATGATTGATTTTTAGAGAGAGAGAAGGGGAGGAAGGGAGAAACATCCATTTGCTGTTCCACTTATTTATGCATTCATTGGTTGATTCTTTTTTAATTTTGTTTATTTTTAATCCTCACTCAAGGATATTTTTTCCATTGCTTTTCAGAGAAAGTGGAAGGGGGAGAGAGAAAGAAAGAGAGAGAGAGAGAGAGAGAGAGAGAGAGAGAAACACCAATGTGAAAGGGACACATCAATTGGTTGCCTCCCTCAAGCACCTGACACCGGGCTGGGGATCAAGCCTGCAACCAAAGTACGCATCCTTTAAAATTCTAGAGAAAAATGGCTCCTCACTAGAATTCCAACCTAGCCAAACCATCAACACAGAGAACAAAGACATTTTCAGACCTTTGGGATCTCAAAACCTTTACCTCTCATGACCCCTCTCTCCAGAAGTCAAACAAAGGAGTAAACCAGGAAAGAGGAAGACACAGGATACTGGACAGAAGGATCCAGCAAAAAAAACCCAGGGGATCCCCTCCAGGACTCCCAGGACTGCTCGGCCCAGTGAGGCCAGCAGCCAGTGCTGGAACAGTAGGTCCCAAAGGCTTCCACAGGAAGACAAAACAGATGAAACCCTTGGTCTGTCTAAATATCCCAAAAGGAGTCCTAGCTGGTTTTCTCAGTGGCTAGAGCATCTGCCTGTGGATTGAAGGGTCCCAGGTTCGATTCCGGCCAAGGGCACATGCCTCGGTTGCAGGCTCGATCCCTGGCCCTGGCTGGGGCTCGTGCAGGAGGCAACCGATCAATGTGTCTCTCTCACATTGATGTTTCTCTCTCTCTCTCTCTCTCCCTCCCCACTCTCTGAAAAGCAATGGAAAAAATACCCTCNCAGCGTGCACACCTAGGCTGCATGTTAGGCACCCGGCTTGGCGCCTACAGGAAGCAACCAATTGCTGTTTCTCTCTCTCCTCCATTCCCCTCTCTCTAAAAAAAAAAAATCACTGAAAATGTCCTCGAGGATTAAAGAAACAAAAACTATGCAAACAGAGAGTATTCACTCCAAGGCAAACAAAGATGACAGGTAAGAAAATGTAAATGAGCTACAAGCCCTCTTTACACAGTCTAACAAAAATTACAAGAAACTACCTGGAGAGGGTAAGGGGATAAAAGAGCCTAAGAGAGGGTTCAAGAGACCAAAGAGAGCCAATCCTTATCTTTCCTGATGGAAAGCAAATGTATACTGGTCTAAACTGAAAAGCCAAGCAGGAGTACCAGCATATTTTGAGAGATATAAGGGTAAATTCCAAAGGGTTAACTGAGTTGAAAGTGATTGTTCCTCAGTGAGATGTGAGGGGGGGGNCTGTTCCACTTATTTATGCATTCATTGGTTGATTCTTTTTTAATTTTGTTTATTTTTAATCCTCACTCAAGGATATTTTTTCCATTGCTTTTCAGAGAAAGTGGAAGGGGGAGAGAGAAAGAAAGAGAGAGAGAGAGAGAGAGAGAGAGAGAGAGAAACACCAATGTGAAAGGGACACATCAATTGGTTGCCTCCCTCAAGCACCTGACACCGGGCTGGGGATCAAGCCTGCAACCAAAGTACGCATCCTTTAAAATTCTAGAGAAAAATGGCTCCTCACTAGAATTCCAACCTAGCCAAACCATCAACACAGAGAACAAAGACATTTTCAGACCTTTGGGATCTCAAAACCTTTACCTCTCATGACCCCTCTCTCCAGAAGTCAAACAAAGGAGTAAACCAGGAAAGAGGAAGACACAGGATACTGGACAGAAGGATCCAGCAAAAAAAACCCAGGGGATCCCCTCCAGGACTCCCAGGACTGCTCGGCCCAGTGAGGCCAGCAGCCAGTGCTGGAACAGTAGGTCCCAAAGGCTTCCACAGGAAGACAAAACAGATGAAACCCTTGGTCTGTCTAAATATCCCAAAAGGAGTCCTAGCTGGTTTTCTCAGTGGCTAGAGCATCTGCCTGTGGATTGAAGGGTCCCAGGTTCGATTCCGGCCAAGGGCACATGCCTCGGTTGCAGGCTCGATCCCTGGCCCTGGCTGGGGCTCGTGCAGGAGGCAACCGATCAATGTGTCTCTCTCACATTGATGTTTCTCTCTCTCTCTCTCTCTCCCTCCCCACTCTCTGAAAAGCAATGGAAAAAATACCCTCAGATAAGGATTAAAAAATACATATGTAACCGCAAAGGAGACAGAGACACTGGCAGAAAGCCTGGAATTGAATCAGCAGATTAAAACCTAGGCAGCTCTGGCTGGTGCGGCTCAGCTGGCTGGAGTAGTCTGTACACCGACAGGCAGCCTAGAATCCCGGGGAGCAGTCTGTACACCGACAGGCAGCCTAGAATCCCGGGGAGCAGTCTGTACACCGACAGGCAGCCTAGAATCCCGGGGAGCAGTCTGTACACCGACAGGCAGCCTAGAATCCCGGGGAGCAGTCTGTACACCGACAGGCAGCCTAGAATCCCGGGGAGCAGTCTGTACACCGACAGGCAGCCTAGAATCCCGGGGAGCAGTCTGTACACCGACAGGCAGCCTAGAATCCCGGGGAGCAGTCTGTACACCGACAGGCAGCCTAGAATCCCGGGGAGCAGTCTGTACACCGACAGGCAGCCTAGAATCCCGGGGAGCAGTCTGTACACCGACAGGCAGCCTAGAATCCCGGGGAGCAGTCTGTACACCGACAGGCAGCCTAGAATCCCGGGCAGCGTGCACACCTAGGCTGCATGTTAGGCACCCGGCTTGGCGCCTACAGGAAGCAACCAATTGCTGTTTCTCTCTCTCCTCCATTCCCCTCTCTCTAAAAAAAAAAAATCACTGAAAATGTCCTCGAGGATTAAAGAAACAAAAACTATGCAAACAGAGAGTATTCACTCCAAGGCAAACAAAGATGACAGGTAAGAAAATGTAAATGAGCTACAAGCCCTCTTTACACAGTCTAACAAAAATTACAAGAAACTACCTGGAGAGGGTAAGGGGATAAAAGAGCCTAAGAGAGGGTTCAAGAGACCAAAGAGAGCCAATCCTTATCTTTCCTGATGGAAAGCAAATGTATACTGGTCTAAACTGAAAAGCCAAGCAGGAGTACCAGCATATTTTGAGAGATATAAGGGTAAATTCCAAAGGGTTAACTGAGTTGAAAGTGATTGTTCCTCAGTGAGATGTGAGGGGGGGGCAAAGGGCTGCTATTTTCCCTAATAAGCCATGTGACATATGTAAGTTCACTAAAGATTAAAGACAATGGATGAGCTTTTCCAAAATATGTTTTTTAAATATATTTTTATTGATTTCAGAGAGAGGAAGGGAGAGGGAGGGAGAGATAGAAACATCAATGATGAGGGAGAGGCATTGATTGGCTGCCTCCTGCACGCCCCCTACTGGGGATCCAGCCAACAGCCCAGGCATGTGCCCTGACGGGAAATCGAACCATAACCTCCTGGTTCATAGGCTGATACTCAACCACTGAGCCACGCTGGCCGGGCTCCAGAACAGAATTTTAAGAGTGAAAACAAGCCCTAGCCGGTTTGGCTCAGTGCTTAGAACATCAGCCCATGGACTGAAGGGTCCTGGGTTAGGTTCTGGCCAAGGGCACATACCTTGGTTGTAGGCTCCATCCCTGGTCTCGGTCAGGGCTCATATGGGAGGCAACCAATTGATGTGTCACTCTTATATGGATGTCTCTCTCTCTCTCTTTCTCTCTCTCTCTCTCTCCCTCCCTCTCCCTCTCCCCTTCCACTCGTTCTGAAAAACAATGGAAAAAAATATCCCCAGGTGAGGATTAAAAAAAAAAAAGAGGGAAAGTGAGAGAGCACTAAGGAGAGAGAACAGAATAAAGGATAGTCTGGAGATAAAGGGAATGAGGTGCCTGCAAGGGAGGAAAACGGGGAAAGGTCAAAGTGTAAAGGGCACATAGGGCGAGAGGCAATGGCATGGCTGCCACCCTAAGGAGGTGCCTGATTTTGCCTCAGAGAAATGGACCTAAAGCAGAGAGCAATGCAAGCCAAACTTCCTCCTGGAAGGATACAGCAAAGGACAAGGCTGGAGGAGATCCCAGAAAAAGAGCAGGTGGTCTCAATGGACCAGAATATGATGACAAAGAACCTGGGTAACTCTGACAAATTGGCAATCCAGTTCTGCGCAGTGTGAATGGGCCACGGAAAAAGGTATGGTGGATGGGAGTGGGGGCAGGGGAGATATCCAAGTGAGCAGTCCTGCAGTTTCTAAGATGACACCTGTATTAAACTTTTCATATTCAAACCCCTCCACAATTTCCACCATAAACCAGTTTATTCTCTGCTTCTCAAGGTCCTTTATCCTGTGAGCATTTAAAGAGGGTGATGAGTGCTAGGGAAAAAAAATGTGAAAGTCCTACTGGCCAGCAACTCCTTCCCCTAAGGAGAAAGATCTCACAGTCTGTATCATAATGGGCAAACGTATGTGCAGATAGATGGGGAAACATGTGAACCAGCTGGTGTAGCAGACATAGCAAGGCAGAGGGCT